TGCATGTAAAGAAAGAGGGACCTAAATGCCCGGAAGACACAACATCCTGTCTGATCTTAGAAGTTAAGCAGGATCAGACCTGATTAGTACTTGGATGGGGAAATCACTAAGGAATTATCAGAGGCTGTAGGCTAATGGTTTTAATGTTATCTGATGTAGGACACTGCCAATTGTTTCTTTCTTTCCCAAAAACCAACAGCCAATGGCTCGGGCACTGATTCAGGGACCGTTACTTTGGGCATTGATCCAGAGACCATCACTTTGGTCCCTAAGGCTATATTTCAGAAGAAAGCAATGGAGAACCACATTTGGGTGTTATTTGTGTAAGAAAGCAATATGACATGTATGAGGAGGCCCTAAGTTAACAGGCAGCATGAACAGCAGACAAAAGGGAAATCATTCCCATTCTCCACCCAAGCAAATAGACATATCATATATACTCAAATATAAGCCGAGTTTTTCAGCCCTTTTCGGGGGCTGAAAAAGCCTCCCTCTGCTTATAATGGAGTCAAGGCCCCGACAGCTGTTTCCAGCCATTGTTGGCATTACATGATATATTTCTATCTCCTCTTTCCCTCCCTTTAACAATGCGTTTTCCTTTCCAAACCTCTCTCACTTCACTTCTCCTCCCAGGCTAATTTTGGAAACTCTTTATTTTTTAAAAGTGAGGGGGGGGGGGATATTTTGAAAAGGGAAAAGATATATAGCGCTCACAAATATTACAGGGGGAAATGCACACACAAATATATGTAGACATGTCTGGATAGATATGAATATAGATATATGGGGCTTGCCAATATTGCAGGGGAAATGTGCACACACACACACACACACACGCATAGAGAGAGAGATGTCTAGATATAAACATGGATATATAGGGCTTGCAAATACTGCAGAAGGGAAATGCACATATATAGAGAGGATTTGCAAACCTTTCAGGGGGGAATGCATATGTGAAATTAGTATATATAATTATAGTATATATAATTATATCTATTTTTATATAGGCATTGAATGTTTGCTGCTAATATGTTAGAAGATGGACTGAGAATAGTAATAATAATAATAATAATAATAATAATGTTTTGTTGTTGTTGTTGTTATTATTATTATTATTATTATTATTATTATTATTATGTTATTGTTGATGCCATGTTGTTTTTGTTGACCCTACTTTTCCACTTACAGAGCTAGTTTACTGTTTCTTTTGAAATACGGTAAATATTCCAAAACATTGAATCTACTGATGCCTCAATTAATGTAATTTTATTTGTATCTATTTTTATTTTGAAATTTACCATTAGCTGCTGCATTTCCTACCCTCGGCTTATATTCAATATGTTTTTTCCAGATTTTTGTGGTAAAATTAGGTGCCTCGGGTTATATTCGTGTCAGCTTATACTCGAGCATATAAGGTACTTTCATTTCCACTGCAACCAAACTGAATATTCTCCAACAAAACAGATGTGTCCTTGGCTGGGCCTTTTTCTTTTTTTACTTTTTAAAGCTTCACATTAATATGGCTACTTCCCCCAAAATTGCTATTATTAAACTGACTTTTTTAAAGCCTCGAAGTACACATTTCAGACAGTTTCAAGAAGACTGAAATTATCATTACTTTTTAAAAAGGCAGTATCTTAGCAACACAGGAAACCGAGATACTTAAAGAGATGGGGAAACAGTAAGCCATTACCTCAATATTAGCACTCAAATATGTGTGTGTCAAGTCGAAAGTATGCACTTGATCAAATCTAAGCACTTTTTGTAGTCTTTGCCTCTGAATCACTGCATTTTTAGTTCTGACTAACTTTAAATTATATTACATGCTGCTTTTAACTTCAGATGGAGAAACGCTTTTATCCCAGGACCAGATGGCTGTTTATCATTACATTTCCTTCTTTGGAAGGGATTAGGTGAGATTTCTACTTGCAATTAGACATCTTGTCATTAAAGCAGTGGCTTTTAAAGCTTTTATATTCAGGGAACCTTTTCCATAGTCAGAAGTGTTTTGACTGATTACATTACTTCTGAGTGTGAAGCACCAACTTAACTGAGAAACCTATACATATTGTGCATGATCCTTGAATTATGTTCTAGAGCAGAGCTTTTCAAACTGTGTGTCATGATACATTAGTGTATCGGGCTCAATGTGTAGGCATGGCATACTCATAAATGACGAATATCCTGGAAATGCACGTTACATCTTACAAACATTTCAAAAATATAAATGACAGGTTTTCATGACATATGTTGTGTCCCCATTCATTTCATTATTACAATTTATATATGTGTCCATATCTCTTATAAGGGGTTGGTTTAGCCTCCGGTTCAATGGTCAAACTGAATGTCTAACAAGTGTGTTCCCATCATGAAATGCTTGGAAAACTGTATTCTAAACTATCCAGACAGGTCATAGGAGGTGCTGGCTTCACCTACTAATCTTTGGTTCAACCTAGATCCAGGGAAGTCATTCTAGATTCAGGGAAGTCATATTACCCCTCTATTCGGCCTTTGTCAGGCCACACTTGGAATACTGTGTCCAGTTCTTGGCACTGCAATTTAAGGGAGATATTGACAAGCTGGAACGTGCCCAGAGAACGGCAACTAAAATGATCAAGGGTCTGGAGAACAAGCCCTATGAGGAGTGGTTTAAAGAGCTGGACGTGTTTAGCCTGCAGAAGAGAAGGCTGAGAGGAGACATTATGGCCATGTATAAATATGTGAGGGGGAGTCATAGGGAGGAGAGAGCAAGCTTGTTTTCTGCTGCCCTGGAAACTAGGATGTGGAACAATGGCTTCAAACTATAGGAAAGGAGATTCCATCTGAACATTAGGAAGAACTTCCTAACTGTGAGAGCTGTTCAGCAATGGAACTCTCTGCCTCAGAGTGTGGTGGAGGCTCCTTCTTTGGAGGCTTTTAAAAGGAGGCTGAATAGCCATCTGTTGGAGGTGCTTTGAATGTGATTTTCCTGCTTCTTGGCAGGGGGTTGGACTGGATGGCCCCTGCGGTCTCTACTAACTCTATGTTTCTATGATTCTTGGATAACTTGAGTGTGTACAGTGGGCCTGCCATATTTGGGGGGTTTGATTCTGGAACCCCACATGAATACAAAAAAAAACCTAGAATGATCATACCCCATATTATTAAACGATGGTGGTGTGAATGGACACACAACAGTATGTTCACATTCACATCACTACCATTTAATCATTTGGGGCATGGTGAACTGCGGTTGTTTGAAATCATGGATCTGGAACCCATTGATCCAAAGTCCCACCAGTATCTTAATATTCTTAGGTCACAGTGCCATGCAGAAGAATGATTGTGAACACTTTGGCTTTCAGGAAAACCTGTCTCTCCTTACTCATTTTCTTTTGGAGGAGACCCTTATTTGAAAACCACAGCATTAACACAAAGAGTCACTTTGGGTCTCATTGTGGAGAGAAAAAGTGGGGTATAAATAAACATAATAAGAATAATGAACAAATGAAAAAAGGTGCGTCAAGTTCTTTTGCTCAAGTTTCAGCCAAATCAAGTCATTCTGTTCTTTCTCTTTTTCTCTCAAATGTCACTGGTGGTTCTTGGGTCTGGAAACTGAGTAAGCTACCTGCCTGGTTGGAGTTGCAGTCCCACTGACAGAGAAGTTACATAGCATGTAATCTTGGAGGTTAAGATTGTCTGAGGAGGCCGTGCTCTTGATCCCACCCCCCTTACAGGCATGACTGGTGGGGACGAGAGACAGGGCCTTCTCAGTGGGGTCCCCTTGGTTATGGAACTTCCTCCCCAGGGAAACTAGATCAGTCCCTTCCCTCCTGACTGTCAGGAAGAAAGTGAAGACATGGATGTGGGACCAAGCCTTTGGGCAATGATTCTCAGTGCAATAATGATTTCTCAGTGCAATAATGAATAATGCAATTGACAACTGGAATGGCTCCATGAATATGCCTTTGGATTGTGTGATTTTAATTAATTGTTTTAATTATGTGGTTTTAAAGCATATGTTGTTTTATTCTATATATGTATGTATGGCATTGAATTGCGCCTTGTTGTGAGCCGCCCTGAGTCTCAGAAGGGCAGGATATAAATGCAGTAAATAAATAAATAGATAGATAAATAAATAAATACTTTTAAATTCACCTCTGTTAATAGAGTCTAGGTGGACACTGTGGGTCAGAGTGTTTGGTGCCATGGTCAGCTGATCTGCCATATAGTATTTCCTGGACTGAGGTAATGTAGCTGCTAATTTGTTGGGAATTTCCCAATTAAAGTACTGCGATGTACCCTATATGGGACTGCCTTTGAAGAGAACTTGGAAGCTGCAGCTAATGTAAAATGCACAATTCTATTTTAACTTGTTAAATTGTCTAAGATGCTTTCAGGCTGTTTATTTTTTGTTTTAAATTGCTTTAATCTGGTAAAAATTGTTTTAATGTATGTTGTTGTGAGATCCAATAAATAATACATAAATAATACATAAATAAATCTGTACTTCTTCAAGATTTATATGTGATGTGAATTTGGCTAGATCAGAGGGACTGATATTTAATTTCAGCACAAGATTATTATCCAGCATCTCCTGGACTTCAGTTGCCCAACAAAAACAGCAGATTCCTGGGACCAATTCAGACGATTAACTTTTGACAAAAGTGGGGGAAGCGTCCCTTGTATTTATATACCCACACAAATTTGTAACACAGCTTTAAGGTTATCAGACACTCCTGTGTAATTCAGAACTCTGTTTTGAAAACCTCCTTTTAAGTGTCCTTGACAGATAGAGGGATATAAGAGCACTAAAAAAAAATGAAGTGGTGGTGGGAAGAAGGAGACGTAGACATCAGTAGCTTTTCTAAGAAAATAATCTAAGGGAATTGCTGTGGGGAATTTCGACCGTCTCATAAGAAATCTTTCCTCTTCAAGTTCTTGTTAAGTGTCTAACAACAGAGTCTAATCTAGCTAAGCCTTCTTATATAATCAATACAGCACTTAGAGAAAACACTTACGGTTTATGTGGTCGATATAGTAGACACCAATCTGAGGATCATATGCATCTTCCCATCCCCATGGTAGCTCATCTCCAACACAGTCTGCAAAGGATAATGGCTTTGTTAACCTAAAAACAAAATCAGAAAGTAATTGAATAAGATTATGGAATTTTCCTCGGCATACACGTGCAGAAAATTAAGCTAATTAATTCAGAAGTATTACTTCAGGCATTATCTAGTTCAACTAATAAGTGAGAAAGGGTTGGTTACGAAATACTGATGAAGGGTGAGATGTTTTTAGGTGTCTTTTTGTGCAAGGTTAATGGTTTTCACATAGAAAACAGCAACGTTGCACAACAAAATCATGTACCTATTTTCGTGCCACTTTGCAGGCTTTTGCACAAAATCTTTTGTATGCAACATTTCTGCTATGCCACATTGCTGTTTTCTGAATAAAAGCAGCAATGTTGCAGAATATGTGCAGGTGTAGATTCAATTCCCTTACTTTCTTTGTCTGCATCATCACATTTGAGTGACATTCCAAACCAGCAAAGGCTGAAGTCGAGATGTGAAACCATCACTGAATTGTGTGTGTAGGACTATAGCATGCAATTTACCTTAATTTTCTATTATAAGTAGTTTTCTGATGTATATAGCAAAAAAGTGGATGAAGCTTTTTTCTCAGAAAGATGTGCCAATTTCTCTGCATAGCAAGAAGATTGAAAATATAAGTACTATATTTCCTGCACTTTCCCCCCATATATATGTCTCTAAAAACAGGATACATTTTAGATTGCAGATGTGTGTGTGTGTATAAACACACACACATACAGAATTCATATTCCACCCTTCTCACCCAGAAGGGGACTCAGAGCGAATCACAGAACACATATACGGCAAACATTCAATGCCATTATAGACAGAGAAGACAGACAAGTGTACATAGATAGAAGTATATACAGGCTTTCTCATCTTCGGCATCTTGGAAGCTATGCTTGGTTCCAGCCAGTGGGGGGGTGGGGGGTGCTGTCGCTCCACTTTCCCTGCCAAAGAGCTTTGTTTGTAAACTTCTTCCTTGATTGAATTGCCAGCATTTTTCTGACATTTCCTTATGGGTGCCGTAAATACCTCCCCGCTTAAGTGATACCCATCTATCTACTCACATTGCTGTTTTCAAAACTCATTGGAGGGAAGGATATTAGAGGCAAAGATGAAGTACTTTGGGCACACGAGAAGACAGGAAAGCTTGGAGAAGACAATGATGCTGGGGAAAATTGAAGGAAAAAGGAAGAGGGGCCGACCAAGGGCAAGATGGATGGATGGTATCCTTGAAGTGACTGGCTTGACTCTGAAGGAGCTTGGGGTGGTGACGGGCAGCAGGGAGCTCTGGCATGGGCTGGTACATGAGGTCACGAAGAGTCAGAAGCGACTGAACAAATAAACTACAAACAACTTAGGCAGAAGCTGGGCTAAAGGCAAGGAGCTCTCTCTGACCCACACTTTGAACTGTCAACCTTTCGGTTGGCAAGATTTACTGCAGCAGGCAGTTAACCTGCTGTGCTAAAGTCTGGCCCTGCTGTGCTAAAGCCTGGTTCTATTGAAGCATTTTCTCTTGGTGGTGTTAGTATGCCTCTTATGACTGATAGTGTCTTAGAATTAAAAAATATGGTATTTACGGTAAAGCTGCACAGTGTTTCACAATCTTGTAGTAACCCCTTCCAAAAAAAAACCTTTGCAAACTCCAATCTAACCATATCAATTTCCCCATCAGTTTAAAAACAGCAGACGCAACTGTCTGCTACCAAGATCTTTGCATACCCTCCAATTGTATTTTCTCATTTCTTCTGGAAATGAGTGTAACATCCTTATTTAAACAAATGTATACAAAATCCATAGTTGAATGTAAGAGCTTTATGTTCTTATGACACCTAAATTGATTGCAACTATACAAGAAAGAGTTCTTGGGTGGGAGTGCAATAGCAAAAAATAAAAATAAAAAAGACAACTGAAAACACCTGCTCAGTACACTGAAGCAGTGAAAAGGAGGTGGAAATAAGTATTAGGAATTATTGGGAAATAAATTGAAAAATAAAAATAGAAAGTGTCATAATGCCTTGATATAGATGTGTGATAATATCATGCATACTAAGAATGTGATTTCTGCTCTCCCCATCTCAGGGAAAATATCACAAAGCTGTGAAAGGTCCAAAATTGAAATGAAATAATAAAATGTTTCTCTAAGAATGAAATGCTAAAGTTAGAGGCAAAGAGAGCAGTGATTTGAGTGTTGGATCAGAGTCTGGAATATTGTGTTATTATGCCAGGTTGAAAAACAGGTAACATATTGGCCATCATTCATACTTCACAAGTCATATGTTAGGCCACATCACTTTATATTATTTTTCATTCAAGAATAGTAACATGGTAAAATAATTCCTATGGTGGCACAGCAGGTTAAACTGCTGAGCTGCTGAACTTACTGACCAAAAGGTTGGCTGTTCGAATTTGGGGAGCGGGGTAAGCTCCCGCAGTTAGCCCCAGCTTCTACCAACCTGGCAGTTCAAAATATGCAAATATGAATAGGTGTTGCCTTGGGGGGAGGAAGAGGTAACAGCACTCCATGCAGTCATGCTGGCCACATGAACTCGGAGTTGTCTAGGATAACGCTGGCTCTTTGGTATAGAAATGTAGATGAGCACCACCACCCCACCACCCCAGAGTCGGACACAACTAGACTTAATGTCAGGGAAAACCTTTACCTTTTACCTAACATGGGTAAAAATCATCCTAATATGCTCAGTGTCTTTCTTCCCACTCTTTTATGCTGGTCTTCCTTGCTTTTTATCTCACTACTCATTCAGCCTATACTAACTTAACCTGCATGGCTAACACCCCAATTACATTTCTCTTCTTCTCTCCCAATCTCTCCTTCTCATTTGTCTAATTTTCCTTTCCCTCTGCTAACTGTCCATCCCATTTTCACCTAGGACCACAAGTTTCTCATTCCCTCTCTTTTAGGATTCCACATTCTAAAAAAGAAAGGGGTGGGGATGAGAAAGTAGAGGATTTAGATGGCAATGTCTGCATATTATGTAAATTATTTGCTTATTATGCAAAGCATGTGGAAGTTTTTGTAAAGGCTGACCTTCATACACATAGAACTCATTTCCCATTCTATATGTTTTATAAATAGAAAAACACATGGATTACAGAAATACAATTGCATGCAGTGCAGAGAGTATACAACCTGCAGTCCAAGGTGTCATCTACATCTCAAATGACCCCTTCTCTTTACTACCAGTAACTGTGGGGAATAACCAACAAAAAATGGGGGAAATGGTTTTCCTCCTTCAACTCCTACCCCCATAAAATGGACTAGCCTTCACTGTTTAGGCCCTGTTTTGGAGACCACACGGATTATGGAATAGTACCCAAATAAGCACACTTATTTACACAATTATATTACTGTAAACAATGAAATAGTATCTTTATTTTTAAAAACAAGAATCTCCCATGCTGAAATATTTCACCTGAAGATGTTTTCAAATTGAAAAAAGCAACAAGGAAAATAAGAAAGCAGTTGTCATCTACAACATGAAGCATTTCAAATACAGGTTGAGCACCCCTTATGCAGAATGCCACAATCTGAAATACTTCAGAATCCACAACTGTCCACTGGATGACTGAGATACTAACATCTTTGCTTTCTGATGGTTCATCAATGGAAAGAAACTGTTTTCATGCTCAAAATTATTAAAAATGTTGTATGAAATTAACTTCAGGTTATGTGCATAAAGTATACACAAAGCATAAGGAGATTTTGTGTTTAGATTTAGGTCCCATCTTCAATGTATCTCATTATGTACTTATATACAAATACAGCTATTCCAAAGCTTGAAAGAAAATGCAAAATCTAAAACACTTCTTGTCCCATGCATTGTGGATAAAGGATACTTAACCTGTATAGGACACAATCATCAATTGACAAAATCATCACCTAAAAAAGAAAGCCTGAACAAAACTGAACTACCGTATATACTCGAATATAAGCCGACCATAATATAAGTTGAGGCACCTAATTTTTCCACAAAAAACCGGGAAAACATATTGACTCGACTATAAGCCGAGGGTGGGAAATGCAACGGCTACCAGTAAAATAAAAATAGATACCAATAAAATCCCATTAATTGAGGCATCAGTAAGTTAAATGATTTTGAATGTTTATAAAAACTTTCATTTAAGATAAGACTGTCAAACTCTGACTAAACCATTATTCTAACCTCCTTCAATGTAAATGTGCTTATGTAGCCTTCCAATATTAATAAAGAGGGTAAAATAATACATGTAATAATAATAGAGTAAAATAATAGAAATGTCATAATAAAAATAATAATAGAGTAAAATAATAAATGTAGTAATAACAATAATAGAGTAAAAGAATAAATGTGATAATAGTAGAATAATAAATGTAATGATAACAATAATAAATATAGAAAAATAATAAATGAAATAATACTACTAATAATAATAACAACAGAGTAAAATAATAAATAACTTTGACTTGAGTATAAGATGAAGAGGGCTTTTTCAGCCTTAAAAAGGGCTGAAAACCCTGGCTTATACTTGAGTATATACAGTAATTTTGATATGAGAACTGTAATGCCATTCATGTTTTTAACTAATTTTATGAGGTATTCATACAACATTCAGTCTGTCCCAACTCTATATTTATATACCTGTGTAGTACTTCTTATCAGATCTTGCAGAAAGGAACTAATTTTAGCTGTCTTAGTTAATAACTGACATGGCTGTTTTGGATTAATGCTTGACATTCAGGATAGAAATGGGTTTTCTACTTCTGGTTTATGAAGAAGTTGGAGCCAGATCCTGTAAGGATTTTATGATCATTTTACTGTGAGAGAGGGTGGGAGATGTACAAACAGGAAGAGAGACTCATAATATATTTAGTCCATTGGTCACACATTGCCCATCTCTGTACCAGACTCTACTGGCTCTCTCCTCCTCATCTGAATATATTGATATTTCCTTGTCTGTCTCACCCATCCTGTCTACTGATGTCAGCTGTCAGTTAAGAGAACTTACAAGTCCACTTTCCTAATAATAATAT